ACAGGCGAACGCGCATAACCACCAGTCCGCTCCCGAGGCCGGACCGAGCCCCGAAGCGGGAAAAAGAGCGCGCTGAAGATCAACCAGCTGCAACGGCCCCACGAGACAGCAACTCTGGGTTTTGTACACAATAACCCCTCCTCCGGGTAGATTCCAAAGTTACGTAATTCTTATTGTGTTCTTCCTTGGGGATTCCAAAGGGCGTACTAAGACAGCGACACACGTCAGATGTCACCGTTACAACACTGTAGCTACCAGCGTCGGTAGAAAATAACTATTTGCACCCTTTATTTGGTCCTTCCCTAACCATGCTGGAAATTGTGTTCTAGTACTCTTTTGAACAAACGCCGACTCGTGCGACCAATATATTCTGCTCCACATAATGCCAACTAGCATAGTTTATTTAATTAACTAAGATATAAATGTATAGGCCTGGGGAGAATTTATCAAAAAAACGTACATTCGCCAATTTATTTTCTGAAAGGCAGGTATGCTAAAGCTACGCTTGCTTACCTTAGCAGGCCAAAACCATTCCAGTATAATTAGTAGGAGCCACTCCAAAGCCCATGCGATTGCCATAATTTTTCCTCCAACTGGTCCGAGCCTAGAGAGGGCGCTATGCGGAGGAGAAGGAGAGGAGAAGAGGAATTGATCGGTAAATAAAGAGAAGTGCATAACTTAAGATGCATGCATTAAAAAAAGGTCGTTAAGGGCATTAAATCGATTTGCCAGCTTATACATGAAGCTTCCTTGTCTTGAAAGCAAACGGTTGAGCCAACAGCCATCATCTTTTGGCATGACTTTTAAAATATTAGACTGAAGGCTCAAGTTTACACTCGTGTTGTGAAGTTCAATGACACCTGAGCATATCGGAGTGAAAATAAATATAACAGGCATAGACGTTAATTCGACTACATCGCAATAATTTCCCAGAAAAGAAGCAAGCGTACTCTACTTGAAACCGTCTTAATTTAGAGGGAAACTTGCCAAAGCCGCATAAATGAAAGTACACTAAAATTTGGTTATTCTTCTGAGATTGATCAAGTACAACTGTTAGATAAGATGTACTTCAAAGATTTTAGAAAAGCACATTTTCCTCAAGTATTAGCATAAAACTGCGCCATTTGAGAAAACTTTGTGGGATACAAAACGCGGAGGGCGGAGATCTCACTTTATTCCAGTAAATAGAACGTACGCGAGCATGCCGGTTGTGGTAGAGCCACGAGGATGGCTCATCGCAGTGAGGTAGACCTTTTCAGTTCTTTCGGCAACATTTTGCCAGGTGTATAATTTTCCCACTTCTCGATGCCTCTGCCAAATTTGTTTAGAGGCGGAGACGGGTGGCCAAGACGGTTTTGATACTGACTCGAGATTACGTTGCTGAAGGGGGTCGTTTACTGCGGTCTGGCAGCTGGGAGCGTCGACAATCTCAGGCTCGAGAACAGAGTCGACCTTTAAAAGATAAAATGAATAGGAAATACAGTGACAGATAATTTAGAGTTGGTATTTGAGCTGGCGGAAATCCATTTCTAAGGCTCTAACGAATACCGTGAATAGGATCAAAACGGGTTGGAGCAACATAAGCATGCTACATAAGTTCGGAGTTAAATGAATGTCTAACAAGAGGATCATACACAATAAGACTGACTACCCTTCAAAAACCGAATGATATTTGAAACGGCATGTTTGCTTAACCAACTTGTGCTTGTTTTAAACACGTGACGACTAAGTACACATTATTATTGTTTTTCAGTGTACTTGCAGAACGGTCGATAAGGTCTTTCAGCCAATGCCATACTTGAAGTAACCCCTCCACCTCTCCGACTCTCATTTCCACCACAAATAGGATAAAACACACAAAGGCTAAGTTGATAGGGGGAGGAAGAGGGAGAGGGAGAGAGTGTGTGTAGTATTTGCCGGGACCTGTCGGCAACAATGTATTTTGAGAAGGTGTCCTTCGTCTATTAATTTTCAGACCACCACAAACCATCCTGCACAAAGGCTTGTCTCCATCGCGCTTGCACAAAAATATAAAGTAAGCTTTTTAGCGCATCACGATGTTTGTGTCAACTCCCAGGAATAATCTGCTTAATGCGCTTGTAGAAGTAATGCAGTACCCACTTCGACCGCCCCAACCAAATAACTCTACATCTGCCAGTCTGCATAGTCTTTTACAAGAAGACAGAAGGCAGCCAAGGGCAAACTCCAGCAAGCAGTTCTCAAGTAGAAAATGCAGTCGCTGGACCATTAAGTGCATTAGTCTGACGTTTCGGATGCTCGCTCGAACTCTTCATCAGAGGCGTCCACAGATAATGGTCATGAGGGCGTCAGGTGAGTGGTATTTATAGGACGCAGCTGCCATATAAGCAATTAGCAGAACTCACCTTCATCCCTGGTGATGGTCGCACACGATGTGATGATTGTTGTCAGTCCACTTCCGAATCATCTATTGTCGAAATTTCAGTACGGTTCTAAATGCTTGGCGTGAGCATTACTCGGCATTTCGGTCCACTGTTAGGGGAATATTTCGCCGCCCGCGTGGGTAGTAACTCTGCCTAGACGAATTTTCAGCATATAATATGGAACCACGGAGCGATTCTGCTTGTTAATCGACTGTGGGCCGGAAAACCAAGACTAGAGCAGTTCACTATTCATAGGCTTCTTCCAGCACTTACGAGGATTTCAGCCTCGGTGTGGCTGGGTCCCCTCGCATGCGTCTTAGTTCTCCGACCTGCAGTCGATTGAAAAGCACAATGACCTCGCGGATGAATGCTTTGAAAAAGTCAACAAGCAGCTGGGCAACGTACCCGGTTCTGTAGTGACTAGGTCAACACGAAGTGCACTTGTGAATGCCTGTCGTGACTAGCCCAAGTCAAAGTGCACTTTCGGAGGGCTCGCTGTTTTCGGTCTCTGTAACAGGCAATCACAGACCGACTT